AAAAAAAAAAAAAAAAAAAAAAAAAAAAATACAAAACAAAAAAAATTCATCAAAATAGTGAAGTGTTCTTATTTTATAGTGAATTTTTGTAATTTTTTCTGAGTAGAGATTTTTAAAATAAAATTGAAATGTCCAGGTAAGATAGTAAATTAGGGAAGAATAATTCATTTTTTTCTAATGGATTCTAAGGCTACTGAGACAAAGTTTATTTTTTCACTAATAAAAAGAATGGATCTTTTTTCACTTATTAGTATTCACCATATCAATTTTTCTTTTTACCTTTTTCTGTGATTTTAAACCAAACTACCAACAACAACCAAATCAAAGATTTATACTGCTTCTTGTGCTTATTGAGGTATTTTTCTAATGTTATTGCTTGAAGTATTATGCAGGAGAAAATAGCCCAGGTGGAGAAGTGCAGCTTGGAGGGTAGCAATGCCTATTTAAGGCAATTTTTGAGAAAGGAAAGTGTAATTTCTATGGAACACCTTTAAAACATGTTGTGATATTGTGTCTTTTTATTTGTTTGTTTATAGCTTAATTAGAAAATTATTTCTACAATTTTGCTGAAAAGTACATGATTTACTTTTTAATTTTTAAGATAGTACTTACAGTATTGTACAAAAGTAATGATTGTTTGACCAAAGTATCTATCTGAATTCAGCTATACTTTTTAATTTCTGGCTTATCTGAGATTTCTGTATTACATTTTACTCGGTCATACACATATTCCCTGCTATTATGCACTGTGTAATATTTTGAGGAGCTTCTTGGTGATGCAGTTCAAAGAAGTATTTTAAACTGCATCAGGAATTCATGTAATTATCAGGTGCATTATATTTTATTTTTCCCTCAATATACTGCTACATAGGAAGAGTTGTATACAATAAGAAGCATGAAGCATACTGTAAATATTTAAAGTTTGTCTCTTTAAAGTATACTAATCTTTTACTTTCAATGAACATAGTGTTCATTATGTAAATCAATTTTAATAACATTCCTCCTAATGCTATGAAATTAGCTCATGTATCACACATCTTATTGTTAAATCAACATGAGTATCTCACAGTTATGATGACAATGCCCCAGGGAAAACTGATATTTTAAATTTTCATAAGTCAACATATAACGACATTTTACACTTTGAAAGTTCAAAAAAAGTAATCCAGAATTGGAGCACACTGCAATTACACACGAAGTTTAGGAATTCATCACTGGAAAGTCTGATTGTGTCAGGAGTGTATGTGTCACACCGTGGGATGTGGCAATCACTGTAACTCGGTGAGTGTTACAGAATCACAGCTGCAGAATCTAAAATACAGTAGCATAGTTATCCATTTCCTTTCATATTTATTTTTAAACACCTATGTGTTTATATTGCTTTTTTGTGTCACTATCAACTTTCCATACATTTGTCCATCTACTTACTAGATTTCCTCGATATTAGAAGGAGATTATTGATGTGGATTATTTTGAGCTGGAAAATGAATATGATGGTAGATTTAGCATGTTAAGGTCCCGTTACCGTCAGAAGCCAGTACTAGTGCACTTTTGTTCAGAGAATCTAAATATCTCTGGAAATGAATAATGTTCTCTTTCAGAAGAATCGCCATGGATATACCATCAAGACAGGTGGGCTTATTTACAAGCATTTTAAATTGAAGTTGCCATAGAGTATATTCCCGCTAACCCTGCATAATAAAATTTATCCAGGTGACATTATTGGAAAGATGCTGACCGTGCTGAGGGCCCCGTCCAGGATGTAGGTTCTTCTGATCTCCCTGAATGGAGGGGCCCAACCTCACCACGGTGACCGAGTTCATCCTGCTGGGCGTCACAGATCGCCCTGAACTGCAGGCTCCACTCTTCCTCCTGTTCCTCGTTGTCTACCTGACCTCGCTGCTGGGCAACCTGGGCATGATCATCCTCACCCAGGTGGACCCCGGGCTGCAGACTCCCATGTACTTTTTCCTCAGACACCTGGCTTTCACCGATCTTGGCTATTCCACAGCCGTGGGACCCAAAATGCTGGCTAATTTTGTTGTGGATCAAAATTCAATCTCGTATAATTGTTGTGCTACACAGCTGGCTTTCTTTCTTTTGTTTGTTGCTTGTGAGCTTTTCATTTTGTGTGCCATGTCCTATGACCGCTATGTGGCCATCTGTCACCCTCTCCTCTACACAGCCATCATGTCACCGAGGGTGTGTTGGGTACTCGTGGTGATTCCCTATCTCTACTGCACATTCGTGTCTCTCCTGATCACCACGAAGATTTTCACTTTGTCCTTCTGTGGATACAATGTCATCAGTCATTTCTACTGTGACAGTCTCCCCTTGTTATCTTTGGTTTGCTCAGACACACATGCAGTTGAAGTGATGATGCTAATCTTAGCTGCTTTTAACTTGATTTCCTCTCTCCTGGTGGTCCTGGTGTCCTACCTGCTCATCTTTGTGGCCATCCTCAGGATGAAGTCTGCAGAGGGCAAGCGCAAGGCCTTCTCTACCTGCGGGTCTCACCTCACCATGGTCACCGTGTTCTATGGGACATTGATATTTATGTATGTGAAGCCCAAGTCCAGTCACTCCTTTGACACTGACAAAGTGGCTTCTATATTTTACACCATGGTCATCCCCATGTTGAATCCTTTGATTTATTGCTTGAGGAACAAAGATGTAAAATGTGCTGTGCAGAAAACTCAGAAAAAAGTTTGCAATATCTTTGATTAAAACTCTTACAGTAGGATTTCTGTGTATGAAGCTGTAATGTTAGCTGGCTCTGGTTTGCTCCAGGATGTGTAGCAAGCACTGATGGGCTCACAATATATTTAAACACTGCCTCTTCTCCTTCCCAACATCCCTTCCTCCCATTTCACCATATTCCACGGACAGAGTCTCCATGCATCTCTTAACAGGAGTCTTTTGATCTTCTCTGTAAGTTATGTGTGCTGTGGTTCCTCCCACAGTGGGGAAACCGTGTAGTACGTAACTCTTGGTGACTGTTTCACAAGACTCACCCGCCTCCTACCAATGATTCACGGTTATCATTGCTGATAGCCAGGGAATTCCCAAGCACTTGTGCACACATTACCTTTATGCGCTCCCGACTCGGGTACATAGTCTGTTTCCATGGTTTTGCTCTTGTCCTTCCGTGCAGCTATAAACATGAGCATGCACATGTTTCTGTAATACGATGACTTTTAATTGGCAGAACTCTGGAAGACACAGTGCTGGAACAACTTCTTGAACAGAACCCAATTACACAAGGTCCTCTTTTACCAAATTGGACCCCTTGCATTCACATACGTGCACGAGGGGCCCATTGACTGAGCAGCATCGAAACTTGTCTCGTCCCGTGCTTATGGGTTTAAAGCCCATACAACAAGGTAAACGTTTCTTTGAGCACTGCCACAGAAATTTCCAGAATTGCATTTCTTTTCTTTCTTTTTCTTAACTGGTTTGATTTTGGTTCCTCACTGCATATTTCCCCCTAATGTAGGCCTGATCTTCCTCCCCTGTCTAAATAAGAGAAAAATACTTTTTAAAAAGTCATCATCTCTCCTTTCTCGCTCTAGCGTGAGATGTCTGTGGTGAAGTTTGTTGTTCCCTTGCCTTGTGGCTGACTCCCCTCATACTCGGCACGTATAATAGTATGGTGTGTTCACTGAGATCCACTTTTGGAAGGAGACAAGCAGGTGATTCCAGAGTTCTAACTGTGCTGTTATTTCTGATTAGAGTGTAATTTGCAAAGTTCTGATGTACATACCTGTTATGACATATGGATATCAGCATCCATAACTCACTGTAAATTCTTCTGTGTTTTGTGCATTATTTCTATTATTTTAAAATCCTGCGATTATATTTACACTGGTCAGAGACTGATGTGGTTTCTTAGCACACCACCTTGTAATAGAAATATCAGTGTAACTATCATATATGAATAAAGGCAATTCACTGACATAACAAATTAAAGTTTATATTGCCATATATGGAACTATATATTACCAAAGATTCTAATGAATAGATTTTTGTGATGATACAATTCTATAATTGTTAACACACACACATATGTTTGAAAATATTTTAATTTCCTAGAAAATGAATATACAACTGGGACATAATATAGTGTTGATGGCCAGATTATGAAAACATTTAAATTATTTTTATCATTATTATTTTTTAAAATTTGTTCATTTATTTTTTGGTGCCGGGCATCAAAATCACAACCTTGCAATTGCAAGGCAAGTGATGACACCACTGAGCTAAATCCCTGGTCCTAAATTATTATGTTTTTAATTTGCATTATGTCTTCCCTAGTTAGACTTATATAAGCTATTTATACCATGTAGAAATAAATTTACAGCAAAAATTTTTCAATAGAGACAGAATTCTCTAAATTTCATGAAAATGCATTAAATGAAATAATCCAATTTATTAAATCTGTAAAACATTGGTGTAACTTTTAATAATCCCAAAAAAGAAAAATCAAAAACTTAAGAAACATTTTGATATGCAAAATTAGATAGAATATTTTTGAAGTTAGCCTACATTTTATTATTAAGAAACTTAAGTGCTGGGGATTTAGCTCAGTGGTTCCAACTCCTGCCTTGCAAGCACAAGGCCCCGGATTCAATCCTTGGTACCAAAAAAAAAAAAAAAAAAAAAAAAAAAAAAAGAAAGAAATTTAAAAGTTAGTTCCGTATTTTAAAATATTTTTCTATACAATATAAATTTTAGACATCAGAAATTAGAATCCAATGAAATCACTGGTAATAGCAGTCGTAGAATTTAATATTTCATACAATTATAATTGAGAATAATCAACATGGTGAAGAATTAGAATTATACAAAAATGTAGGGATGCTCTGAGTATCTACTACAAAATAATTTATACTTGAGTTTAGGATCATAAGTAGTGGTATGTTGTATTTTTTCTATTTAGAGAGGCAATAAGAGAAAAATACCAGAAAAATTCATGCCTGAAAATGAACTCAATTAAATTTTATTTTTAATGTAATTCCTCCCTACCCAAAAAAATCATGTCTAGGTAGCTTGAACAGTGAATTCTACTAATTGCTGGGATAAAGGACTTAGCACTTCCTAAAAATTCTTTCAAAAAAATTACTGAAAAGTTGTAGTTTCCAAATTTTGGAGGAATGTTATTACTTCAATGTCAAAGGCAGCTAAAAGCATCGTGAATGAAAATTCCAAACAAGATGTTAGTTGATGAATTCAGTAATACTCACAGTGACATATCACGCAGTTTTAAAGAAGGAAATTCCATTTAGTTCTAATTACCATGTGAAGAAAATCAAAGAAATGAGAGCATATCATATCTCTACAGGTACAACACTTTGAGAAGTTTCCATGTGTATTCATGACCAACACTTTGACCAAACACTTACTAAAATGAAATTCTTCAATTTGGTCCTGATCAAACATTTGCCCTTTATTTCCTTTGTGATTATCTTTTTCTTGTTATATTTGAGACTGATTATCCTCCAAAGGTGGAGTCTTTAGTCTTTAATTCCAAGAGGAAAGTCTCACAAAACAGAATTCCATCAGGGATAGGAATAAAATGGGATCATGAGGTTAAATAGCACCTCAAAAGTGTACACGTGGAGCATAACTCCCTGCGGTCACTGGTCAGTGTGGATTCCATATTTTGAAAATCAGTTTAAAGCATGCACTAAATTGCACTGCACATGGTTAACCAATCACACCTTCTATGTGAATCACCAACCTCAGACACAGTTCCCCTCTGGCAACGGAGCAAGGCCGAGATTAAATTAAGGAAGCAGAGGCAAGGCCTGGTGGTGCCCCCTATAGTCCCAGGACTCCAGGAAGCTGATACAGGCAGATTCCAAGTTCCAGCCAACTCTGGATAATTTATTTGATTTGATAGCCCCTATATCAAAATAAAACAAAGCTAAATTCCTGGGGTTGTGGCTCATTGTGAAAGCTCTGCAATAAGTCCCAAGTACTACAAAAAAGAGGAATGTTTTAATCATATAAAATCTAGATGTCTCAGACTAACATAAATTAAAGACTGACTGATGCAGATATATATATATATATGTGTGTGTGTGTGTGTGTGTGTGTGTGTGTGTGTGTGTGTCACTTTTAGTGCTTAACAATTTCCAATTTTGTATGTCATTTATTCACCCATTCCTCCACGAATGGCTATTTGGATTGTTTCAACATATTGGTGATTTTGAATTGTGTTTCCATGGGCACAAGAGTATCACTACCTCTTTGAAATGACATCAATCTGCAGGGTCAATATCCACAGGGAAGTAGCTGCAGGGTAAAACTCACACACGCTCACATGCAGAATGCCACAGTTGGTTACAAAGTCCCTGATCATTAGGGTAGAATCTCCAGGCACCTCATTAGGGTGCCAGATGCTTCAGGGATGATGAAAAGATTGTTTGGCATCTCCTTGGGGAGGGTACAAAAAGTTTCCAAGTGCTTATATTGATCTCAAATTCCTCCTATAAAAGCACATTGGAAAATCAAGAGAGATTTAAGCTCAGGTAAAGAGAGTCCGAGGGCCACTGTCTACAGAAAGGGTCCCATTTTCCTATGGCTTTGTCATCTCATATAAATGGCCAATTTAATTCAATTTCTGAGACTTTCGCTGCTTCTAATGACCAAGAAGCAATAGGAACTCTTGTTTTGTGCCATCTTGCAAACTTTTGACTGCTGTGCCTAAATTGAGATGGAAAATACTTGTGATAATTTTTGAGACACACGTGTAAGTCTGAATTTCTTAGAAAATAGTTATATAAAATCATATCTAATGAATGACAAAGCTAAGGAAATAAAAGCATCAGTAAAAATAAATGCTTTTGGGGGTGGTGATTTAGCTCGAAGTTTCTACCCCTTGCCTTGCAAGGGCAAGGACCTGAGTTTGATCCCCGATACCAAAAAAAAAAAAAAAGAGTTTTTTTAAAATCAAAATTATTTGGCAGGGATTGTATCTCTCATTCTAATATTCTTCTAATATTTAATTATTTTTTACTCCAGGATCTTTTAGTGATTATCTAAAAAATAATTTAATATGCAATGTTTACGTAAATAAAAATGTAATTTACAACCTAGGTTTTGATAAGAAAATGGAATTCCTCCCTCACATGGTGTTTGTTTGTTTGTTTGTTTGTTTGAGACAGGGTCTCACTATGTAGTTGAGACTGCCCAGGAGCTCACTATGTAGCCCAGGCAGGTCTCAAACTCACATTGATCCTCCTGCCTCAGCTTCCTGAGTGCTGGGATCACAGGTGTACACCACCACGCCCAGCCTCACATGGTATTTTGCAAAGAATAATTTTATAATCAAGAGATTCTTAATTGTTAGAGGGTTATGATACACTGTTGATCTTGTAGTTTAGTCTGAGTGTTCAGTTACAGGAACTGTTTCATCTCTGCTCCTTGCAGAAAAATTCACACCACATGTGATTTAATTATTTACTTTTCATGGTTGCAAATGAAGCTCAAACAAAAGAAAACACAATAAGAGAAAATCCTTCCTACTGCATTTACTAAGGATATTTCTGTAAGATTATAATGCGGCACACTGTACAACAGAGCCCACAAGGGACAGAGGAGGATATAGGTAGTCACAATCCTATAAGCAGTGTGTTCATTGAGAGACATAAAAACTACATATAACCAACTTATATGCAATGTAGAGAAATCGTATGGATCTACTTGTTCATAAATTTGTTAGAGAAATCCACAAAACTGTTTTCTCTACTCTAAAAGTACATTATTCTATTTCTTTCACTTATCCAGGGGCAATAATGTCATACTTTTTAAGAGACCAGCCACCCGCCCCTATGCGATTCTCTTAAATCTTCAATTGTTAGAGTTTTTCAGACATATTTTACTGGTTATATACAGGATTCTCTGCATCCTGTGCTCTAGCAAAGAAGAATAAATTCTTCTGGACTTAGCATGCAGAAAGGTTTCAACCATCAGGAATACATGTGTACTGTATGCATTTTTATGTTTATCATATGGACTGTCACAGTAAAAGTTCTACAGAGTATAAAAACTTATATACAATACTATATAACACTCATTTGAGCAATCTCAAACTTGTTTCTTTAAAATGTGTGCTCCCTTATTCTGAAATGAATACGGTGAATCTTCATTGCATAAAATCATTTCCACTGATTTCTCTCATATTTGCCCTGATTTCTCCATGATCCTCAAGGTGACTGCCTGTAACATACATCTCATCATTTGCCCACAAAAAGTTTCTTCAAACTGCAATGACAATGCCATGGCAGATAATAATGTTTAAGTAAATTTCTATCCTCCTCTTTTGTGTGTGTGTGGTACTGCAACATGAATCCAGGGCTCATGCATTCAGCTATCGGCACAGCCCTTTCTTTCCTTCCTCTTTCTTTTCCTCATTCCTTCTGCTTTTCTTTCTTTCATTTCCTGCTTCCTTTCACCCCTGCCTCCCTCACCCCACTCCCTCCCATGTGATCCTCCTGATTGAGCTCACAACTGTTGGGATTACAGGCTTGCTCCACGACCACCCCTGGTTCACAGTAATTTCTAAAATCCTACTAAAGTGCCAGGGATTTACCTCAGCAGCAACGCAATGGCCTGTCAAGCACAAGGTCCTGAGTTTGATCTCCTGCACCCCCCCAAAAAAGTAAATCAAGTAAAATGCTATTAAAATAATTATAAACAAAAAGAAGATAGGTAATCTAACACAATCTACTCTTCCTGAAATTTTAGTCTTAGAGTGGGTGTGGGTGGTAGAGGTGAAGGCTCACCTGCTTGTATTCTATTCTATTGTCTTATGCGAGCTTTGCACAGCAAAGTCTGTTCTCCAGGTAATAACATTAAAATTTTACTGACTATATTTGTGTATTATTGAGAACAGATGTTCTGATCTCCCTGAATGGAGGGGCACAACCTCACCACAGTGACCGAGTTCATCCTGCTGGGCATCACAGATCGCTGTGAGCTGCAGGCTCCACTGTTCCTCCTGTTCCTCGGCATCTACCTGACCTCACTGCTAGGCAACCTGGGCATGATCATCCTCACCCAGGTGGACCCCGGGCTGCAGACTCCCATGTACTTTTTCCTCAGACACCTGGCTCTCACGGATCTTGGCTATTCCTCAGCTATGGGACCCAAAATGTTGGAAAATTTTCTTCTGGATCAAAATACCATCTCCTATTATGGTTGTGCCACACAGCTGTTTTTCTTTGCAGTTCTTGTGTGTGATGAGATTTATATCCTGTCTGTGATGCCCTATGACCGCTATGTGGCCATTTGCAGCCCTCTGCTGTACACAGTCATCATGTCACCAAGGGTATGTTGGGTGCTGGTGAGCACTCTATATGTCTACGATACCGTCACATCTCTCCTGGTCACCATAAAGATTTTTACCTCGCCTTTCTGTGGCCCCAATGTCATCCGTCATTTTTATTGTGACAGTCTCCCCTTGTTACCTTTGTTGTGCTCAAATACCCATGAAATTGAATTGATCATTCTGATTTTTTCAGCTTTTAACTTGATTTCCTCTCTCCCGATGGTCCTGGTGCCCTACCTGCTCATCCTCACAGCCATCCTCAGGATGAAATCTGCAGAGGGCAGGCACAAGGCCTTCTCCACCTGTGGGTCCCACCTGACAGTGGTCATCATGTTCTACGGGACCCTGATATTTATGTACCTGCAGCCCAAGTCCGGTCACTCCAGTAACACTGACAAAGTGGCTTCAGTATTTTATACCCTGGTCATCCCCATGTTGAATCCCTTGATCTACAGCTTGAGGAACAAAGATGTAAAATATGCTCTTCATAGGACATGGAAAAACATCTGCAATAATTTTCACAAAATTTATGCATGATTGGAATCCTACAAATCAGTTTTGAATGAGAGTCTGCTCTGATTTGTTCCAGAATGAATACAGACACAAGTGCATTCAATGCATATAGAACGATTGCCCTTCTTGATACTAGTTAAATTTCTAAATCATTAAAACAATATTAATGAAACATTTTAAATAAAGAATAAGAAATTAGATTCATTCATAAGAAAATGGATGCGTATTGGGGTTATACTCTTAAGTGAAATAAATAAGTCACACATGTGTAAACACTGAATAGCTTCTCTGGTGTGAAAAATTATAATTGTAAATAAGATCCTAATGGTATAAATGACAATGTGAAATAGGAAGAAAAGGACTAAAGGTGTAGGGGAAGTCGGAAGGGTAGGGGAAAGGAAATAAAGGAAAAGAAAAAAAATGAGAAAATGAAAAAATGGAAATAAAGTGTTTGTACCTAGGGAAGGGAGGAGGGGGTGAAAGCAGTGCAGACTAAGGGGAAAAAATGAGAACCAAGACCTGTCATGTAAAGGTACAAGATCCCAATGATGAATGTAACTGTACTATATGCCTAAAATGTACCAATAAACTCAATGAGAAAAATTTAAAAAAATTTAAATCACAAAATTAATGAGACAAACAATAAAAGGCTTCGCCTCCTTTGATGAAGAGATATAATTTAGAAGCACTCCATTTGAAGAATGCTCCGATACAGTCACATGGGTTTAGAATCCACTGACCAAGGGCAGCCAAAGAGACAGCCTGCAGAGGCGCTGAGTAACACAGCAGGGAACTCTGGCCTTGCTCTTCCCAGCTATTACAAGGAACTCCCAGTGTCTGCGTGCTATTTGTGTGCGTGTTTCCTGTTTCGCGTAAGGAAAAGCAGTCTTTCCCTTTTAGGCTCCATCAGATCCGCGGGTTGTGTTCGTGTCACCCCTGGCGTTGGACTCCGATGCTTCATTATGTGGTGATCGGAGGGAGTCGGTTCTGAGAATTTACCCCAATGTTACTCTTCCGTGTGGTGATCTCAGGTCCTTCCTTTGCAAGCTGATACCCTGCGTTCCATAGGAGCTCAGGAAAGTCTACTAGGGCAGCGTAGCTGGATGTCAGGCAACCCATAGCCTCAGCATAGCTTAGAACTTGATGAAATCAGTTGATTGTTTTACAGTAGTGAATAGACAAATTAAGATAAATTTCTTCAGGTCTGCCATATTACTCCTGGTCTTTCTCGTTTATTCTCGTTATTGTCTTGTTCCTCGTCTCTTAATGCCTACTTTTCTGTGACCATTTGCTGTTTCCCTTATCTCCAAATGAAAATATTAAAACTCCGCAGTCTTTTGTTGCTCTTGTGTAAGATACAGTAGGTTGACTGGCTCTCTCTGCTGTGGCTGAGTTTTCTCGTGTTCGATTCGCCTGACTCGGTGCCATTCTCGGGGTGATGCCCCGTTCTCCACGTACATCAATGTTATGATCCAACTTCCAGACAGCAGAGAGAGGATGCCGTTCACTGAGAGCGTGTCGGAGTATACAGAGATGTGTTTTCTTTTCTTTTGTAAAAGCTATTCCAAAAACTTTATCCTCCTTGTATTTTTCAGAATTTATACCATTCAATATTCATATGATTTTAAGGGGACCATAGAGAAATTGTTCTGTTTTTGTAGGACAGCATCATGGAAAAAATTTATCTGTGTATTTAATCCCCATGAATAAAGATAAATATTTGGATCAATACAATGTTATATATGTGTTCATGCTAAGATCCATGTTACTGAGATGTTACCTTAGTTGGTCATTTTATTACAATAACTGCTGTAATTAAGCTTAACATCTGTCTGTATGTTTGAAAATGTTGTGATTCCTTAGAGAGTAAATGCAGGCATGAGCAAAGTGAAACGTTAATTTCAGTTATTGTTCATCATAAAATATTGAAAGAGTTGTATTTCTAGTATTTTAAAATTATTATATTTTCTAAACTAATTTCATACATTAAAAGTTTTTTGTAAAGATAATTTTTGTTAATACTAAAGTTTATAATTTATAAGGTGAACTACTCTAAACCATTATCTCTTTGTTTTGAAAGTCTCAATAAACTCATTAATCCTTTAACAAATGAAACAAAAACAGAAAAAAAGGGTTTTGTGTTTCAGAATTATACAATAGCTTTCATTCATCTCTAAAGTTAGTCTGATTTACATTATCAAATAATTTTATAAATATTATCACAAAGTTTCGTATTTTATAGATAACATATTAAAGATAAAAATCATAAATTGGAAACTGAGTAAACTATTCTCACTGTAATTTGAATTAATGGAGTTTAATAGTCTGCCCAGTCAGAAGTCACACAATTCAGTGCAGTTTAGAACAAAAAATATAAAAAGAGGAAAGTATTTATAAGAAATCTGTAACTGGGAAAAGGATCACAAGTGTGGTGTATTGTGTTTTGTGAGCACACACATATACAAAAACTACTAGCAAAAGAAGTCTACAATAAAACATTAAAGTGGAAAATTTAATTAAAAGTAACGGGCTCCCACTCTAAAATCAGGTTCAGGTGGCATTATTTGTGGATTTTATTTAATGAGTATAGGGAAAGCATTAACTACTGTGTAGGTGTTCCGCCAGAAACATAAGTATATCTAGCATATTTTCTAAGTGTTGAGGGAACATTTCCCAAATGCCAATAGCAGATAAAGATATATATTAGAAAACACTAAACAAAACTTAATTTTGTGGCATAGCAAAATATAAAAATTAATATATAATATTGTCTTTAAGCAAGGAATCTAAATTGCATATTACACTATATATATATATATATATCAAGTTCAAACCATATATCTGAGTAAAAATTAATACATATTCAGTCTTTTAAAAATGAATTTAAAACACATGAGAAATGATATGGTAGATTCCTCAACAGTTCCTGAACATAGGGTTAACAGTGAAAATTTCCTGTGAATGATACATTTTAGACTAGGTGTGGAGGAGGCAAAGGTGCTGATAGGTTATGTTGAGGACCAATTTTGTTCAGTTTTTCTCCCATTAAGTTTATTGGTACATTTCAGGTATATACAACACAGTTAAGAGTATGTAGGTTTTAAAACAGCATATATAAAGTTTTGTTTTTATTGCTATACCATTTGATGATAAATAATGAATCAAAGATTAATGTCAGTTTTATTTCCCTATAGCATTCATTGTAAATTAAACCTCAGGATAAATTAAAAATGAATTGATCCAATTTAGGAAATATGTGTTTATGAAGTTAACATTTGCTAGAGCCTTTGTGGTAATAGAATAACAACTTAACTTGCTGAAAATGTGATTGCTTGGCAAATTCAAACTGTTGTGGAACACTTACATACAAATAGCCATCAAAGCAAATGATGATTTTATTGCAAGTAGAATACAAAATCTCTTAAAGAAAATGCGTAAAAGTTTATAACCTAAAAGTAAATCTATGAATCCACTCGAAGGCACAAATAACAAATTGTCACATCTGAATTTACTGAAATTAGTTCTGAAGTCATTTACAGATATTTTGTTGAGGTAAATTTCCCATGATTTATTATTAACTATTTTAAGGTGATCAATTGGCCAGTAATTACTATAATCCACAATTTGTTCAACAAACACTTCCACACAGTACAGTTTCAGATTACTGCCAGCACTTTTAGTTGCCCATTTGTCCACTGTATTTTGCCAAGGGCTCTTGGTGCCAGCCACCTTCACTGAAGCAAAAACCTCCTGTCGGAGAGATCACCTAGAAAAGCAGTATCCTCTGCAGAGCATTGTGATCAAGGAAGGAGAGCAGAGGAAGGGAGGTCTCGTGTGTCACACAGGACCAGGTGACTCTCAGAGGGGCTTCACTGCTGCAGCACAGACGACCAGCACCTGCCCCACAGAGATATTTTCCCAACTTTAAAGCAGGAGACCGGCTCCACTCGTTTTATTTTCTTTTTATCCTGCCCTTCTTACTCTTAGCTCTGCATTACAGTTATAAGCTATGCACCTATTCTGTCTTTCTGTTAAACACAGCCAGTACTTTGGGAATCTCAAAGTCCTTTAAAATTGTTATCCCTCGGTTCTCACCTTTGATTCCGTAACTGGTGGCTCTTTCACCACTTGTAAAATATATTCTTAAACAACAACCCATTGTTTGGGGCAGGAATACTTTGGGTTAAGGAACATAGTAGCTGAAATAGACACTTCTTTACAAAATTATTGCTTAATTTTATAAAATTTATTTCGATTGGGGTTAGGTGAAATGAGGATTTCAAAATGTCTATTTCCTAAATTGAAATTCTAAGAAGAAAATTGGTTTGATCTATAGTGTTCAGAGTAAGTTTCCACAGATGAAAGGAAATTTCAAAGATAGAATAGAATATATTATTGAACTATAAGGGTTACCAATGTTCACAGAGTCACAAAATAATTGATTAAAGGTACTAATTTTACTCAATTTTAATGAAATAAATGTGGTAACATCATGATTTTTCAGTGTGTTATCAATACCTTTGAATCAGTTGAAAAACACAAGCTCTGAAATGGGAAAACATTGAGCTAAGCCCTTACTTAGGCGGAAGACACGGTGAAAAGTCTCTTAGCCATGTTCTTTTTTTTTTCTTTATTGGTACATTTTAGGATAACACTACAGTTACATTTATCCTTGGGCTCTTGTACATTTACATGATGTGTCTTGTTCTAATTTTGAGGAGAAGACTACATTTTCACACCAGTGTTACAGAACGCATACCCACTTTCATATAATTCCGAGAGATACTTAACAATAATTATCAACACTTTCCCATCTCATCACTTTCAGATACTCAAATACTGAAATTATATTTGAACAAAGCATTTCCTTCCTTGTCCACCTCACATCTCCGAATTTTGGTGGCGATGTATTGTATTTCATGCATTATCCTAAGTCTCCCGTAGTTTCTGGTCTCCAGCACGGAGGACCAGGCAACCCTAATTTACAGAAGTCTGTGCTGAGTTACACTTTATAGAGGACTCAGTCCACAGAAGCCTGGCTTCCAGGCAAGCAGGGTGTGGTGGGCACATCTAGGAGAGGAAACGTTTTTGGGTGCTGGCTGCCAGGATGCAGAGGGACAAGGAAGTTGCTGGAGAGCGAGACGAGGTACATCCTTCAGGTCACGCTCCCCTGCCCAAGCTGTGCAGACCAGGACCCGCCTGCTGACAGTCTCAGCTCGGGACTGAATTCACTGATGGGAGTCACCCTTCACGTTCCAGTCACCTTCCGTACACACAAGGCTCTCTGAGGACACGCCGGAGCCAAATCATAACATCTGATCCAATCTGGACCAGGGCTGGGATGACCTAATAAAATGCCACATCGATGCAAGCAGAATGTGGTTAGCTTAGTGAAGGTCAGGCTGATCTATTACAAGGATATGCTGTAGCCTCCAAGTCCCATGCACCAGCACGATTCATGGCAACGTGCTTGTCAGGAGTCTGAAATTCTCACGTACTAATGGTGGTGGAACTTAGCTAAGTTCAACAGTGTCATTTTGAAACAAATCCACTCTTATTTAAGTGAACTGTATTTGTTATGCTTTTCCAAATGAGGGACACACTTCAGGGGATCTTCTGAGAAATGTTACGCATGGGCAGAGTGGAGACAAATACAAGATGAATTATGGTGAGGGACACACTTCAGGAGGTCTTCAGAGAATTTTTTACTCATGGGCAGGGTGAAGACAAATACAAGATGAATTATGGTGATACATGTAGAAAACTGGGATTGATAACTAATTACATGCCAGTTACTATGAGAAAACACAATAATTGTGAGTACATCCAGATTGCAATGGTTTTATCCATTGGAATTCATCAAAGTACTGGTAGGTACATACTAAAATAGATATAGTTTTAAAAAGAGTTGTGTAAAAAGTTAAATATCCAAAAGAGACATGCGAAACACGCAGAGGAGAGACATGCACGAACACTTGTGGGTAGAAGAAAACTCCCAGTAACTTCCTCTGTAAGGATGCGCTCCTTTATAGGGACACAGGTCAACTTCAGTAGAGGAGAGACCCATATGGGGAAGGAGACAGAGTGAGGGCTGGGCAGCGAGGACTGTGGATCACTAGGATAGGAATTAAAGCATCTCTCGGGTTTAGTTATTTCCTCTCATGCTAAACTATTTGAGTTGCATCCATATTCATAATTTTTATATCTTCTGGGTTTTTTTAAATCACCATGGTGCATGTGTAAGCAGCTTTGTCTTTGTCTCAGACACAAAATTTGAAAGTCATTGCACAAAATTCTAAATGTTGGATGTTTACATTTATAGGTGAATAAATCCTGCTTTCAAAAAATAATATTCTGTCTTTGGTACTGGAGATTGAACTCAGGCCCTTGTCCTTGCAAGGCAGGTCTGGAACCACTGAGCCAAACCCCTGGCCCCAAAAATAATATTGTTATGTCCAGATACCTGTGAGAAAGTTAATAGTAATAACAAAGGAAAGCACCGGAATTGAGCAAAAAAGAATTTGTCATTTGGGAAATCAGTATGCCCTGAATAATTAAGAAACTCAGTGGTATGACTGGCTCTTCTCAGCCACTTTGGGAATACTGAAGAAATAGCAATTTAAGCCACAGGAGTGAGATTTAAAAGAAAGAATGGTGGTAAATTCTTCTGCAGGCAATATGGTTGTCTATCACATACAGGAGAAAGAACTCATTTCATTTTAGTTGGCAGTTTGAATTAGTCAATATAATTTTCAAATTAGTTTCACTCATTAAACAATATTTTTGCACTATAATGACAATTACATGTTTTTTAAAAATTACTATTTTTTTGGAGTAAAAAGGAACTACTCCTATTTATTATCATGATCGCATTATACGGAGATCCTAAATCATGATCAGTATGAAAGCAGGTAAGCATCATTGAATTCCCCACCCTAAATGCTGTCTGATCAAATCTGTCACTCTTCAGGTGTTGGACTAAACCCGCAGGGGCAGATTTATTCCTGTAGCAGAGTCCAGTTGTTCAGGAAGGTAGGATTGTCATTTTGTCTACTTGATCACGAGTTTCTCTTGTAACTATATCAATTTGTGGACTCATTTTACTAATATCACTCAGGCCTGGATTTGTCATGGTGTAAGTTCTACCAAGATCAGTCCCTCTACAAAGACCTTTAGTATATGATATTTATTGGTAGTCAATTCCATAAATCATAAATAAGTGTGGAGAATTTGAGCGTGAAACGGGACAGAGCTATAGGGACTCGCTCCTTGCAGGTGTCTTGCGCTGCCCTGCCCGTCTAGTCCTCCCAGGAGAGCAGGGAAGCCTGGGGATCTCCGTATTGATCCCCGTTACCTATTAGCAGAGCAGTGCTCCTTACGTGCTAAACGCCGGGCACTTTTAAGCTGCCTTGGAATCTTCCTGGACTCTGTGCCCAGGAAGGCAGCTAAACGCTCACAGTCTGGGCATCATCTTGTCAGAAAAGCCTGCCGTGTCTGCACACCAAGTGAGGAGTGGCCCTGCGTGGTGAGAGGCCCAGGTGGAAGGGCACTGCGCAGTACCATCTGCAAAGGCAGGGGAAGGGAGAGTCCGAAAGCAGGCGTCTTGGAGCAGGCCGGCGCTCATCATAATGGGATCATCTCCCAGCTACCATTTATTTACTTTGCTATTGTTTCCCTGTGGATGATAAGGCTCGAAACTTTTATTTCCTAACCTATTTCTACTGTGTACAAACTTGGCTTTGATACCAATGCACGTAGGAAGTCAGCGAGCTTCACGCGCGGAAGAGATCTGTGTCCCAAGGCTCAGGTTAGTGAATTTGCCGCCCCGTGGCCTCTCAGCAGCTCTCCTGTCCACCACGCTCTGCTCTTTACTCACAGGATGCAGCCAACTCCACCGACACTCTGCTTGGATCTGCTTGTCAGCCAGAGCGTCAGGAGCCGGGGCCAATTCAGAGATGGACCCAGTCATTTTAAATTATGTCAGCTAAAAATAACGTGGTTTATCTCACACATCCTGGCCTCAATAAACTAAAAGTTTTATAGGTGCTTCTTCCTGAAGCTCAACATCTTTATTGTTCTTCCCCTATTAAGCATTTTTAAAGGTTGAAGAGATAAAAGAAATCTGAAGGTGCTAAATGGATTCATTCTAATAGTTATCGCGGCCCACGCTGATCAGTAAGCGTCTTCTCTGGGCTGTTCCTCGACATCTGTGCAGCCTCTGTGGTCCGAACCTGTCCATGGTCCTCACTGCACCGGAGGACAGGGGGCAAGGCCCCGGGTGGTTTTTCTCAGACATGTAGCTCTCATTGCTCGTGAGTACCCAGCCTCTGTGGGACAGGAAGCCCTGGTAACCTCTGTACCTGGTTAAAATGCAGGCTTCTACAGTAGTTGTGCAGGAGTTTTCTGCGTCAGGCCCATCAGTAGTGAATTTTTAATTCTGTCTGCAGTGGCTTCTAAGTGCGACTGCCACACGGCCCTCTGTGTGTATATTATTCTCTTTCAGAGCCACTGCATCTCTGAAAGTCTAAAAAAATATAACATCTGTGAGGTACAGGTTCATGAACCATGACAACCACTAAAGAAACAAAATCTCAGTTTGTGTTTCCTAATTTTCAGAAGCACGTGTTAGATTTTATATCAAAATAAAGTTTTGAAATAACTTATGTGTAAAAAGTAACTTTCTATAAACTATTAAGGTACGACAAGAATGATTTACATATACTTTGTTCTTTGCCCTATTTCTTCTTCTAAAACAATGCCCAATGTGATCTTTCAGCATTTTCTACTCATGTATGTGCTTTGTATTTATCAAATCCTTGAAAATTATCAGCTGCACTACCTTTGGTATAATAATTCTATAGGACTATATTTTGCAACAATCGCATGCAGAGTTGAAATTCATCAGTAGGCTACCTTGTTATAAAGTTGGCATTATGAATAATGACAAAGTCCCTATGTAATTTCAATAATATAAATGAGAATTAGATCACTCAAAAAACTGGAAAATAATCATAGGGTTTTTTCACACAAATATTTAAACATATATACATAAAAAAATATATATATGTATATGTGCATTGAAAACCATGTTTCTACATTATCAAAATGTCCCCATGTATCCATACTACATTTCTAGATATTTTTCAGTCATAATAAAAGATTATTGCAGCAGAATTTAATGTAAACTTGAAGTATATAAATTACCAACTTACTGACTTCTCCAGACCCTCACCTTTCCTTGCCAGGAGCAGACACTTCTTGGGACAAAGGAAATACTTAGACGACAGTAATATTCTTTGTGAGTAAAATCATTCCCAATGAGAAACAATAAAACACTGTAAGGATGGGTTTGTTTTAAAATATTAGTAATGAAAAATCTTTGGATTGGTCATGTTTTGGTAGAATAGAAATACACTAAGTGAGAGATAAAGTTGAAAATCTGTTGACTGTGCTGTTATTTCTATTCTGAGCAGGTCTCCTATTCACCCTGGATGGAGGGGCCCAACCTCACCACGGTGACCGAGTTCATCCTGCTGGGCATCACAGATCGCCCTGAGCTGCAGGCTCCACTCTTCCTCCTGTTCCTCGTCATCTACCTGACCTCGCTGCTGGGCAACCTGGGCATGATCATCCTCACCCAGGTGGACCCCAGGCTGCAGACTCCCATGTACTTTTTCCTCAGACATCTGGCTGTCACAGATCTTGGTTATTCTACAGCCGTGGGACCCAAAATGCTGGTGAATTTTTTAACAGAACAAAACACAATCTCCTATTATGGTTGTGCTACACAGCTGGCTTTCTTGGTTGCTCTTGTTGGTAGTGAATTTTTTATTCTCTCTGTGATGTCCTATGACCGCTATGTGGCCATCTGTAACCCTCTGCTGTACACTGTCATCATGTCACCAAGGGCGTGTTGGATGTTGGTGTTGATTCCCTATCTCTACTGTGTTTTTGTGTCTCTTCTGTTCACCATAAAGATTTTCACTTTACCATTCTGTGGCTACAACGTCATCAGGCATTTCTACTGTGACAGTCTGCCCTTGATGTCCTTGGCCTGCTCAGATACTTATGACACTGAAGTAATTATTCTGATCTTCTCATCTTGTGATTTCATTTTCTCTCTCCTGATAATCCTTGTATCCTACTTGCTAATTTTCATAATCATACTCAGAATGAACTCTGTTGAGGGAAGGCACAAGGCTTTCTCTACCTGTGGGTCCCATCTGACTGTGGTCACCGTGCTCTATGCCACTACGATGTTTATGTACATGCAGCCCAATTCTAGCCATTCCATCGACAGTGACAAAGTGGCTTCTATATTTTATACTCTGATTATTCCAATGTTGAATCCATTGATATACAGCTTGAGGAACAATGATGTAAAATATGTTCTTCAAAAGATGTGGAAAAAGATGCATGTTATTTTTTCTTAAAGGTTACATAGAGGAGGAGCTATAGAAAGCAGACTTCTCTCTTTAATCTCAGCATGTATAGAAAGTATAAATTTTCTTTTTATTGAGTTTATTGGTACATTTTAGGTATACAGTACAGTTACATTCATTATTGAGATCCTGTACCTCTACATGACAGGTCTTGGTTCTCAGTTTTTCCCTTGTCCCTGCCCTCCCTTCACCACCTCCTCCCCTTCCCATTTACAAACACTTTATTTCCATTTTTTCATGAAAATATTGCTGAAGAATTTGAATCAATAGAGTTTAAAATTGCATACAGCAACATATTGGTTTAATGTTGTTTACCATAAGAAATGCAAAAAGAAATTTAGGAATCCCGTAAGAAAGCCGACAATTATTAAGGTTAGGATCATAAAATTGTTATATTGTATATTTCATTTACATGGACACAAAAATAAGAGCAAAAGAAATTTTGGTTGAGTAATTTCTCAAAATGGAACTTGTATTAAAAAATCACTGTCCTCTCTTCTAAACTCAGGTGCAGATGATTTGATTTGGGAATTCAACTGGCTATTTTTTGATAATGTGGTAGCAAGGAGTAACCAATTTTTCATAAATGATCCCGAAAAGTAAAGAGATTGAATGTGTTCCAAGTCCCAGTGGAATATATCCCTGACATCAAAATTTTTAAAATGCATCACATATCAGAATATTCTGAAAAAGAGCAGATGAATCTGGTAAATTGAATGTCAGTCGTTACCAACTCTTTCGGCGTCAGTGACTCTGGGTCACTGCTGGTTGATAGGAGCCACCAGCTGCCCTCGGGAACTGTGCCAGCTGCTGGAGATGGTGGCAGCCCCCATCTCTTCGTTGCTCTCCATTGTTCACTGCTGCTAGGCTTTCAGGCTGCTGGTGGCTTTTGGCCTCGGCGGACTTTGTGATTACCAAGACTGGCGGCTTGGGGACCAGCATTCTCTGAGGATGACAGCTCTGACTGCTCCGACCAACCATGCTCTTGAGGCAGAGAATCACAAATAGGCAAACCATTCCTTGTGTAAAAGGAGGACTCAAGTTGCAGCATAGAGGGGATAGTGTACAGCCTAACCTACTAAGAACTTTGGGGAGGTTACTTCTAAAGGAATAAAAAAGTCAGTTTCTGAATGTGCAGTGTCCGAGTTTCACTGTGATCATGGGTAGGAGAGAGCTGCCATGCTGACTGTAGGGTAACCAGGCTGACTGCAAGGCATGTAGGGAAGATATACATGAAAAAAAAAGAAGAAGAAGAAGTACCTGTTGGGGCATGTCACTCCTTTCGCTCCTGCATTAGTACCATGCTAGCTATGTTTTTTTTATTTTAAGACTATCTTAGGCAATATTCAAGCGTTTCCTTCCTCATTTGTTAAAACTGAATCATGGTTGCTAAGATACTTAATCCTTTCGTTTCAGAAATTTGCAAAGGACTGCCCTGCTGAGTGTGCTTGTTTGTATAGATGTGTGTTCTTCAGCACAGGAAAGAGCCTTAAAAACAATTGCAAAATCATAAAAATAGATGCATTCCTTGTTAAAAAATTTTGGAGTGCTCACAACAACAACAACAATAATAAATAATAAATGTAATAAAATAATAATAAATGTAATAAAAGAGACAAATTGGAATATGGAAGATAACAATTTTCATGTTTGAATTAACACACAAGAGGCATGAAATCTATTTATACATACATAAGTACATGGTCAGAAAAATCACAGAATGAGAACTATCTTAGAGATTATGGATATCACTTTAAAATGATATGAAAATGTAAATTGATATAAGACAATTTTTTAAAAGCATAAAATAGATGAATGTTTAAAAGTGTATGGCTACTAATTAAGGATGAGCAAAAGGTAGAATAAAGAAAGTGTTCCCACCATATTGATGGAAACAAAAGTTTTAGGTTCTTGTGGGAAAAATATTTAAATGTTTAAAAGGTCTTCCTATGAGAAAAGTTAAGGAAAATCTATATCTAAATTAATAATTATAGATAAGACCTCAAACACATATCTGGGTGAAAAAAAGTCTAGTCTTAGACTTTCACTATTTTAAAAATTAACTTAAGATATTTCAGGTGCAGTGACACAAGCCTAAAATTCCAGCTACTCGTGAGGCCGAGGTGGGAGGATCTCAAGTTCAAGGCCTGCATAGCAACATGGAAAGCCATCTCAATTCAAAATTATTTATTAAAATTATTGCTCATTGAAATTATGTATCTTTCTAAATGAAGGATGGGGACGTATTCCAATGGTAGAATGACACATCGTTTGGTGTGTAGTATGGCAAAACAATGTGGAAAATGGAGGACGATATCAAACACTCTTAAAATCAGCGTCCAGTGCTGGCAAAGTGACAGTGAGAAGATGGAGGGCAAAGAGAATGTTTCTGCTCTGGCGTTTGGAGGCTATGATTAAGAGGAATTCTGGGAAGTAGTTTGTAAGTTTCTGATACGTTATAACCCATGTGAAGTCAGGAAATATTGCCCAGCTATATTAATTAACATGAATGGGCCTGAGAGCCTCCTACCATACTATAAATAATGTCCAGGAAATGATATTCACTACCGTATTGCCGAATTTTATCTAAAATATGAAAATATTTACAGTGTGATTCACTCCCTTGGGAACGATAAATGGTAGACTGTGGTCACTGCTAGTTTCAGAGAGGACTTGATATTCTGTGTTGAGTGAAATAAACACTAATGGGAGTATGTAAATTTGGTTGAACTCCAACATGATATTCGTTAGGAAATCCAGCCATGTTGTGTTTCAGTAAACGTTTTTAAATACTTTTCAGAAATGTCAGGTTAATAGGAACCATTGAGTTATTATAAACACAGAGCATTTATGCCCATAATCACACACATATAAAAACAAATGTGTAATTTACACGTGTATACTGTTTTGAGTACTCTAAATTTAAAACTTCTATAAGCCAGTGTCATGAATTAAAAAGACAGCCATTTTATCACATGTAACAGACACAATTATCACAGGATACAAATTAGATGACCAAAATGTGAAAGTGAGCACTTTAGTATAAGACATAAAGATGAAACACATGTAATTTATAACCTCATTTAACGTGAATTTATCGATATAAACTTTCATGTAACTCATAGCAATTTTAAAGGGAACAATTTAGTGGTAATTATTGAATTCACAGTGTTACGTAGCCACAAGATATACCTAGATCTGAAACACAGCCCTCCATACAGAGTATCTATTAAATAAACCTTCTTTATTCCACACTCTGGCTAATCTTTTTACCATCTTGATGTATACTCCTATTCTTAATCTTTCATATGAAGCACTCCTAATAAAGGCTAATTTTGTTCCTGACTACTTTGAATTAGTGTTTTCAAAATTCCTTCCCATTAAACTATATATTGGTATTTCATGCCTTTAAAAACATTCATGGTTTAACCTAAAACCTACTCTTGTAATATATTCAAATATGCAATCTCATGCTATTAATTTCAGGAGTAGTGCTCTGCAACAGTTCCCCAGAACTATTTTGTTTTTATAACTGGGTCTTCATTCCTTTTGTTGAGCAACTTCTTTCACCCCAAGTATTTTGAAACCACCATTGCCTTTTTCTGAGTTCACATGATTGAACATTTTGTATTACTCATATAATTAAAATCATGCAATATTTTTCCTGTGACTCTAGTTTTACTTGACATAATTTTCCTCAGATTCATTGATATTTTCACATATTATATGATAACTATTTTATTTGAACCTTGCACTTGCCAGGCAGGTGGCAGCACCACTGAGCTAAATCCCCTGATAACTATTTTTAGTGCTGAACAAAATCCCATTGCTTGTATATGTTTTATTTGTCCACGTCTCTATGAAATGTTATACACTTGTTTTGATATATTGATGATTTTTAAATATGCCACACAAGCATGAAAGTTTTAATACTTCTTTAAGATGGTATTACCAATATTTTAGATAAATATCCACAAGTGGGACTGCTGAAATATAAAATACATACACGCAAACAAAAAGTCACAGTTACAAATTGTCCCTGACAATTAGTGAAAAATCTCTAGGCATTTTACTGAGCTCTCAAATGATCTAGGGATGAAAATATTGCTTGGCTACTCCATAGGGGTAGTGGGAAAGGTTTAAAATATATATAAATTGATCCTGAGGTCCCCATGTGAAGGAGCACATTGGAAATCAGAGAGATGTTTTAATACAGGTAACAAAGATAAACGGCTTCATGTGGCACCACACATTTCACTGTTGACTGCCGTGCTCACATTCAGCAGCGACTGTGTGTGTCGTCTAACGTCAGTGGTCATTTCCAACTCAGTGTTTGGGCCATGCAGGAGCTCACAATGCCCGAGAAGCAATAGCAATTCTCACTGTTTTAATACAATTTTTTTAATATTACGCCTAATCTGAGATACAAAGTACTCAGAATCATCTTGGAAACACACAAAGAGTGTGTGTATGGTTAGGTCAAAATGAGGCACAAAACCGTGTGCCTCATTTTCGTACCAAAACTGAGAGGTGATAAAACATAACTGAGATAATATGATTTTTTAAAATTATCAGGATTTGAAATGACAGAAATTTAGTCTCTCATTCTGATGTCCTTTGAATCTTTAGTTATTTTTGGCTCTAGACTTTTTGTGATTTACTGAAAAATAACTTCACATTCAATAAGCATATACATGAATATAGAAAGGTGATTCACGACAGATATCTTGATGGGAAAATGTGTTTTCAAATTGCATAGTGTTTTGAAAAGTAGTATTTGCATCTCAGGAGGCTCCTAAGGAGTCGCTCTTACGGTAAGAACAAAATTTCATTTTGATTAGGGTTGGCTTTATCACTGAACTCCAAAGCAGGTGAGAGAAAACATTTTTAATCTTTCCTTATTTATAAGAAAATTTATACTTTCTATACAAATTTCAATTTTTACTTTTCTTGGTTGCAAAACAAACCAAAACAAAAATAGATAATGTGAAATAAGAAAAAAAAAGAGTGTTCAAGGGAGTGGGTAGGGGAAAGGAAATAATGGAAAGGAAAAAAAAAGGAGAAAAGGAGAAAATGGGAGCAAAGACTTTGTGAATAGGGATGGGTGGAGGGGGTGAAGGGAGGGCAGGGGAATGGGGAAAAAATAGGAGCCAAGATCCATTATGTAAAGGTACAAGATCCCAATGATGACTGTAATTGTGCTGTGTACCTAAAAGGTACCAGTAAAAGTGATGAATAAAAACAAGTACCAATAAACTTTCTGAATGCGTGGCAGGGTTTCAGTTTCTCTTTCTGAGGCCTTCAGCTCTTTAGTTAGCCTGCCTCATATTTCACCTCGTTAAAATACTTCTTTAATGTTGCAATCTGATGTTTACAATATTTAATGAAAATGGTTTCTATACAGAGCAGGGGAGCATATCAGGTAGTTGGAAGCACATGTGTAAATATCGCATAGTCTCTCTGGTGTGAGAAACTGAAAGTATAAATCAGGACCAAAAGGTGTAATAGAGAATGTGAAATAGGAAGAAGATGCTCAACTGGGAAGGGGCCCAGAGGGTGGGGAGAGGGAAGGAAGAAAGGAAAGAGAAAAATAATGAGAAGAGAAAGATCACGTGGAAACAAAGCTCTTATAAATAACAAGAGCGCAAAGGGTAGAAAGGAGGGGAGGGGAATGGGAAAATCAGAATCAAGATCCATCATGTGCATTTGGATGTGATCATCAAAGTGAATGTGATCATCTGAACTGTACCGATAAACTTAATGATGAAAAGGGTTATTGTGAGTCAGTGAATGGCAAAATACATGTAATGAATTGTAAACACACTGTGCAAACTTTCTACAGTGTTTAATCTTTCTTGATTTGGGGCTTAAATATTTTAATCCACCTATATTTGTATTTAATTATCTACCTATCAGGGTAGGTTCACCTATCAGAAACCTATCAGGGTTCTTGAAACTTATGAAGGTTGATAACTCGAGCTGGCTGGATATTTTCATAGACTAGATATTGGATATAATGAGATGTTTATCTGCTTAAGGAGCCACTAGCCATTAGATACCAATGATAGCTTTCCCCCATCTGTGACAATTAAAATATAAGTGGACATGGAAATACATTTTTATGTGGAAAAGCTCCTTGGTTGGGAAATACTTTTCTACATTCTGTGTGTCTCTAACTCAATGTATATCATATTCATAAAAATGAGTTTATTTTAAAATAATTTCTTTCAGGTATATTAGATATATCTTACTAATCCAAGCTTTACATAATAAACCCCCAGGTGATTAGTTGGACCTTTATTGCCTATGCTTAATGTTCATTCGAGAATAATTTTGCTGTAAATCTGGATGAAAAGTCAGAACCTCACTGCAGTGACTGAGTTCATCCTGCTGGGAGTCACAGATCGCCCTGAACTGCAGGCTCCACTCTTCCTCCTGTTCCTCGTCATCTACCTGACCTCACTGCTGGGCAACCTTGGCATGATCATCCTCACCCAGGTGGACCCCAGGCTGCAGACTCCCATGTACTTTTTCCTCAGACACCTGGCTCTCACGGATCTTGGCTATTCCACAGCTGTGGGACCAAAGATGTTGGAAAATTTTGTAACAGATCAAAACACAATCTCCTCTTATGGTTGTGCTACACAGCTCTTTTTCTTAGGTACGCTTGTGGGTAGTGAGCTTTTTATTCTGTCAGTGATGTCCTACGACCGCTATGTGGCCATCTGTCACACTCTCCTCTACACAGCCATCATGTCACCGAGGGTGTGTTGGGTACTCGTGGTGATTCCCTATCTCTACTGCACATTCGTGTCTCTTCTGGTCACCACGAAGATTTTCACTTTATCCTTCTGTGGTTACAATGTGATCAGTCATTTCTACTGTGACAGTCTCCCCTTGATATCATTACTTTGCTCAGATACTTCTGACTTAGAGGTGGTCCTTCTGCTTGCATCCTCCTTTGACTTGATCTTCTCTCTTCTGGTCATCCTTGTGTCCTACCTGCTCATCTTTGTGATCATTCTCAGGATGAAGTCTGCAGAGGGCAGGCGCAAGGCCTTCTCCACCTGTGGGTCCCACCTGACCGTGGTCACCGTGTTCTATGGGACATTGCTGTTTATGTACGTGCAGCCCAAGTCCAGCCACTCCACTGCCAGTGACAAAGTGGCTTCCATATCGTACACTCTGGTTATTCCAATGTTGAATCCATTGATCTACAGCTTGAGGAACAACGATGTCAAATATGTTGTTCAAAGGATATGGAAAAAGATATGCATTATTATATGAAAGGTACAAAAGGACTCACAGAGATGAGCTTTCACAAGAACCTGCTGTCTTTAAATGCACAATGTAAAGATAGTACAAATGGCCTTGGGATGTACACAGAAACTGGCCTTCTTGTGGTAGCTGAACTTCTAAATAGTAAATACAAATTTAGTGACCAAAACAATTAAACTCTGCCTTCTTTGAGGAAGAGAAACAAATTCTAAACTTAACAATCAAAGAAATGTTAAAGAAAGCTAGAATCAAGACCTAGAGATCTAATTTCAGAGAATAAGCTTAGGTTTGCTGAGTAGGAGTGAGGACCAGGGTGGTGCCTCTGTCCTCCTGTCTGGCCGCAACCCATCTCTCTGGTCAGGGTCGCAAATGATTTCATCTAAATCTATTGACGTTTAGAATAGCGAATGAGCAATTCAGATAAATTTCTTGAAGCTTGCCGTATAAATCATGTACTGAGGTGTTTGTTTGTATCACTTGATTAATTTTCATAAATTAGTGCCCAATTTCCAATAAAAATACCTGAAGGTCATTTTGTTCTTTTTTCTAAGCAATCTATTCTAACAACAATAACAAAAAAAAAAGATTTTTTTTTTTTTTTTTTTTTTTTTTAAGGAAAAGGAAGCTTGAAAATCTTGGAGGAAATCAGAATTTGAAAAGAAAAAAAGACCTAAATTGTATCAAAAAACTCAATGAAATAGGGAAAAAAAAGAATTAGAAGCAAAAAGTATAGGATAAATAAACCAAGAATATTTTTAAGGAGTAGGAAGGATGAAAATCTTGGGGAAATCAGAATTTAAAAGAAAATTAGGAGGAAAAAAATAGAAAAAGTACCAGTGATCAAACTCAGGACCTTGTACTTGCCAGGCATGTGTAGCTCCACTGAAAGCTAAATTCCAGCCTTGTTCTTTTTTGATAACGTTCCATCCTTGGACTACATGAGGTGTTTATTAGCTTCCTAGTTTGAGTGTAATATGAATGTATATATACTTGTCTTTTCAACATACTTATTTCATAAACCTTTATTCTCCATGTGTTTTTAAAAAATATATATGATTCAATACCCCTGGAGTTTCACTTGTGTCATAGTACAGCATCAGGACAAAAAATTATCTGTGTAATCAATAAATATGAATCAAAAATTTTGGAATAATAGGCTATATACATCATCACACTAGGATCCTAATGATATAATTGACATTGTGAAATAGGAAGAAAAGAGCTAAAGGTGTAGGGAAAGTGGGAAGGGTAGGAGAAATGGAACAAGGGAAAAGGAAAATAAAACAAGAAAATGAAAAAATGGAAATAAAGTCTTTGTAAATAGGGAAGGGAGGAGGGGGTGAAGGGAGGGCAGGGGGTAAGGGGAAAAATGAGAACCAAGACCTGTCATGCAAAGATACAAGATCCCAATGATGAATGAAACTGTACTGTATACCTAAAATGTACCAATAAACTCAATGAGAAAAATAAATAAAAAATAAAATAGAATAATTTTTTGAAATAGAATAACATTATATATTGCTAGGTACTTTACATTGAACAATTCAGCAGCAATGATTGCAGGCATAATTTTTTTCAAAGAACACCTCTATGTAGATTCAAGATCATAGCAGCACTCTTAGATATTTGCTGAGGGATTTTTTTTCTCCCCCCTTCCTGCTTCCTATCCCTTGCACAATTTCATTCATTTCCCATGTCCTCAGATTCATAGCCTCTAAATAGTTCACAAAACGAAATCATTCTGTCCTTATTTTGTATGGTAGCATTTAGCATAATAATTTCAACCTTCATACTTCTTGTATGACATATAAGTATGTGCTTCATTTTAAAAGAAATTATTTTATCATGAGAATGGTTAACATGAGTTCTATTCTCAACAAATTTAAGGATAGAAAAGAATATTGTTAATTATACCGACTGTTCTACACCAGATCCACGTAAGCTATTCATACCGTGTAACTGAAACTTTGTAACTTCAGTATTTTCTCTCCTTTCTCTTTTCCATTATCCCTGATTACCACCATGCTACTGTATAAAACTGTGAGTTTGACTGTTTTCATTAACCATAAAAGTGATGTGATAAAGTGAAATATGCTTATTCCACTAAGCATGCCCATATTGTCACATAGTTTAGGATACCCTTCTCTTTGAAGGCTAAATGATGTCAGTTTTCATACTTATATCATTATCCATTTATGGATACATATATCAGTATCCATTTATCCATAATGGCCATCTATGCAGTAACTATATCTTGGTTATTGCAAACAGAGCTCCAAGAAACATGAGAATCCACCATTTGTTTTTGAAGTTTTGAATTACATTCTTTTAGATAAGTACTCCAAAGTAGAACTGCTGGATCACAATAGAGTTTCCTTTTTTTTTATTTTTATGTAATATTCAGGTGAGCAATATTCCTCTCCTCTATGGTCCAAAATATTCTAGAAGAGGAGACAGATGTAAAATTTCATGATTTATGAAATTTAATAGATCTTAATGATGAATTGGAGCATTAGGAATAACACATTCATGTCTGAACATAATTTTAGGGTAAATATTTTGTTCTTTTCCCTTTTGGGGGGGTACCAGAGATTGAACTTGGGACCTTGCACTTGCAAGGCAAGCAGCAGAACCATTGAACTTAATCTCCAGCCTTATTTTGTTCTTCTCTTCACTCATTCAGTTATGTAGTTCATCAGAGAGTCCCTAAGTTTCTTTTGAATATCTGTGCTTTGTGGAGAATTGCTTTAAAGGCTGCTAGTAGGTAAGCAAACTCTCCAGACATACTTTTGCATTTATATTGCTGTTAGAATATGCAATTTAATACTAGCAAAAATTTTTTAAAAATACTCTAAATAGTCAATTGCAGTGTTTGTATGTACATTGAGGGAAGATTGATGACTTGTATGAAAATGCATTTTACACTCTAAAGATTTTAATTAAAAATTAGAAGTAAGACTAGAATAGGATGGGTGCTTTACAAATTCAACAAAACATCAGTATTGGGTCTGTTCCCAATTATTTACATTTTGAACTCATATTCTGTATCATCTGGTTTTTCGGGAATATATGCAGATGTTTCTGAACTGCTGCATTTTCTTCATCCAAAGGCCAGGTACAGCACTTCCCAGCTAATACAGGCTTTAGGGGATTGTTCAACAGAAGTTAAGTACTGAATGCAAACACTGCGTTCTTCTGTTACTCAATGGGGTTGCTTAATGGTGAGTCTCTCCGCATTCACTGCATTTCACTTTACATCACGTTTTCAGAGGAGAATTAACTAGGAGTCGTAGTCCTTTGAGATAAAGGCTTCATTTGGGAATTTGTTCCTCAGGCACCTGGACCTGAATGTGTAAGCATATATAGTTGAGTGTGAAGATCTTCAGGTGGTGAATCTTGGCAGATCTCTCTGCACAGGTAGGTTACATCATTTACATCATGTATGTCATTTACTGCAAAGTCTAAATGTAAGGTACAAGTGTCTTTGAATTGTTCTTTTCCATTTCAGTTACACTCAAGATTGAATAACATAATGCATCTTCTTTTCCAAGTAATCAAACATCTGCCCCTAGATTCCTGCTTCAAGGGACATGGTACAACTTCAACTACGACGTCCAAAGTCCCCACTGATAAATTAAACTGCTCTCCAGTTCAATCTCACCTGCCTTCCAACCAGCCCATGTGTTACAGGATATACACTTGATTTACCCACTGAAAACACAAAAGTCCTCAGTAAGATGAAGTAATTCCAGTAATCAGTGGACTTGAATAGGTAACTGCGTCTGAAAATTCAGTCTTTCCTGTGTGATAGTGGAGGGGAATGCAGAGATTCAGAAAGTCAGTGAGAAGGATGGACTCGGAAGGGCTGCCTCGTTGCTGAGCAGATGAAGTGGAATCGTAGCATAGAAATTAATAAGGAAGAGCCCAAGTACTAAGGCTACTTGCAGAGAAACACTAAAATCCCCCCGATGAGTAAGGGCGGCGCAGCCCTGGAGAAGGAGCCCCTAGAAAGGGAGAGGACTGCAGAAGTCAGCCTGGCTCATGAACTCCTGAAAGAACGCGCTCTCACTTTGCCACAAAGACACACACATCTCCCTATGTGCGTGCGAGTGTGTGCACGAGCGCTTGTTCATCAGATGTGTTTATTTTACTGGAATCTGAATGACAACTTTCATATATAATACACTGAAATGAGCATTGATTCAGTTGATGCAAACTGCCTTTACCGGAGTCTGAAGGAGAAAACTATCAGGGAACTCGATGTGGAGAAAATCAAATCTTGACACTGCTATGGTTTGGTTAACTCAAAACCTTTCATATAATTCGTATGGGTGATCTATAAAGGTACAAGAATGGTATTCACAAATAAAATGAAATCAATTGCTTCATTCAAATCAATGTTAGATCAAATTTTATTTTTATAGAACAAAGTATTTACCTAGCCTCAGCACATTTAAACAAGAAAAGCCAGTATATCAAATGAATCATCCAACACCTAGTACATTTGCTCCCGGTTACTCTTTTCTTTCATCTACAAATTACATGAAATGGTATATTTTGCTTCCCTCTGAGATATTAAAAATAGCATTTCCCACTTTACAATACTATTCCTCATTGTGAAATAGTTATAGCGGTGCATCTGACAATCTTATTTAGTAAATTTTGAAAAAAATCTGCTCTCTTTTTATGTATCTTAAAATATGCTGGAGAAACTACAGCTTGAACATAAAACAAACCATTGTGATGATATCACTGCTAAAGTCAAGACAGAACGCCAACATTTGCTAGTCCTCAAGCAGAGTAAGTTAAAGGTCCAGAACTTAGTTGATATTGGACCTAGCAAAGACCAGAAAGACTGCAATCTGTTATTAACGTCTGGATGTGTTGGTGTAGAGAAAATGAATGCATTGTAGAATATATTGTGGATTGTGTAGAATGATCGTTTTTCTAACTCCTAAAAGCAAACTAAATTACTCCCCATCATTACAAAATACCATGAACATGCTCAAAGCATACAAAAGCATGGAGGTGTGAAATACAATTTTCAAATACTAAATGGACCAGCGAATGAGACTACCTGTTAGTATGAACAGTTACAATCAGGTGGTTGATGTACTAGTCAAAATGTGTTAAAGTTTTCTTAATAATGGTTTACTTGTAAGATTGGGACTGAAAATAAAAGCTGAAAAAGCAGAGAGCTGTTGCTTTTCATGATAATTCTGATAAAAATTTAAAGATTAGAATAAATCCTCAATTTTTAGTGAATTATTTTGTAAAAATATCAGAATTCCCAATCAAGCTTAAATTTTTCTAAGCATATAATGCTGACACATTCAAAAGGCCTTGTATAAACTGCATCTTGTAATAATAATCACCGCAGAGCAGAGAAATAAATGTCCACTAACTGCTGTATATTTGTTTTTTTTGTTTTTGGTACCGGGGATCACACTCAGGTCCTTGCATTTAGGAGGCAGGCAGCAGAACCACTGAGCTAAATCCCCAGCCCTAACTACTGTATGTTTTACAGATTTCTAAATGTGGTCTCTGGCTCAGTGGTGGAGGTAGGTCATTTTCAAGTAGGGAAAAAAATGTTAATTTATCTTATCATTAAAGGATGGATTACTATGATTTTTACAAGTGATGCTTCCTGAAACCAAATGGGTTTTAATGGTTTTGCCCAGAGCCTGTACCCTTAGTGGGCTGCACAGATGACAGAAATGAATCGATGATGAAAAGCATTCATCTGTCTGGGACCTCGCAGCCCACCCTGCTCAGCAGCCCCCTTCCTTGGGCTGTTCGTCCTCATATGTGAAACTGCAGAGAGGGCAATGGGGCCTGATCACCCTCACCCAGGTGGGCCCCACACTACAAACACTCACGTACTTTTACCGGGCATCTCAGTACTCTTCATCTTGGGACTCGAGCACTGTGGGAGCCAAAATATTGGTGAATTTCGTAACTAATTGAAAAACAATACCCTACACACTGTTCACAATCGTGCTTGTAATTAGTGGGCTATTTTGTCTGCAGTGATTGATATCCACCACGTGGGCATCGGTGAACCTCTGCTTGGCAGTCACTGTGTCATGATGCCATTGTCATTAACAATCCCAAAATGCCAAGAATGAGAGTGTACATGAATGTGAGAGGACTATTTTCAGTTAACATGACCCTCACTGAATAGTCACGTTTTACTGTATTCTTCGCTTAAACCAGTAAGAGCATGTTAGTTTTTTAAATGCAAATAAAGACTTTCAGGAACACGTCCAAGGTAACTTTTCATACATTACTGCAGTTTGTTGAAACAGTGTTCTTCTGGGAGGAGAACCATCCCACATGAGAACCTCCTGTGTAATTTTTGAAAAATGGTTTTAAGATATTCTAAATGGGAAATTTTTAATGAGTTTATAAGCAGTACCTGCTAGTAAAATCTCCCCAGGTAGTGGGCAATATTGAAAAACTGTTGACTGTGCTGCTATTTCTATCCTGAGCAGGTCTACTGTTCACCCTGGATGGAGGGGCACAACCTCACCACAGTGACCGAGTTCATCCTGCTGGGCATCACAGATCGCTGTGAGCTGCAGGCTCCACTCTTCCTCCTGTTCCTCAGCATCTACCTGACCTCGCTGCTGGGCAACCTGGGCATGATCATCCTCACCCAGGTGGACCCCAGTCTGCAGACTCCCATGTACTTTTTCCTCAGACACCTGGCTCTCACGGATCTTGGCTATTCCACAGCCGTGGGACCAAAGATGTTGGAAAATTTTGTAACAGATCAAAACACAATCTCCTATTATGGTTGTGCTACACAATTGGCTTTCTCCATTGTGTTTATTTCTTGTGAGGTTTTTATTCTGTCAGCGATGTCCTATGACCGCTATGTGGCCATCTGTCACCCTCTCCTCTACACAGCCATCATGTCACCGAGGGTGTGTTGGGTACTCGTGGTGATTCCCTATCTCTACTGCACATTCGTGTCTCTTCTGTTCACTGTAGAGATTTTCACGTTGTCCTTCTGTGGTTACAATGTCATCAGTCATTTCTTCTGTGACACACTCCCCTTGGTATCTCTTGTCTGCTCAGATACCCATGAAATCGAATTGATAATGGTTATTTTTGCAGCATTTGATCTGATTTCTTCTCTTCCGGTGGTCCTCCTGTCCTACCTGCTCATCCTCACAGCCATCCTCAGGATGAAGTCTGCAGAGGGCAGGCGTAAGGCCTTCTCCACCTGTGGGTCCCACCTGACCGTGGTCACTGTGTTCTTCGGGACCCTGGTATTTATGTACCTGCAGCCCAAGTCCAGTCACTCCTTTGACACTGACAAAGTGGCTTCGATATTTTACACCCTGGTCATCCCCATGTTGAATCCTCTCATCTACAGCTTGAGGAACAAAGATGTGAAATGTGCCCTTCAAAGATCACAGAGAAAGCTGCACAAAGTCTTTTCTAACAATGCTCTACATTACTATTCCTATAAATGAAGTATAGATTGAATCTATTCTTCTGTTCATCTAGAACATATAAGAAACACTTTGGCTCATAGTATAATTTTATATCCTTAGATTTATATTTCTGGTACTAGGCACACTTTTTTAAAAAATGTGGGAAATGTGAAACTTTCCATTATCGTAAATCGAATACTTGAAAACAGTGCAATGGAGAAGCAGAAATGGTTCACAGTTCACAGACCTTCTGGGGAAAATGCAGCGTTGTGTACCAGTGGACAAACAGAAAGAATAGTTGGTACTGAAATGAAATGGCTTTTGTGACTTTTGCAAACATTACCATAAAGTTTGCAGTGCCTGTGAGCTCCTCTATATGTAAGCAGGATAGTTCCTTTTTAGTCTCTGTGTACTTTTTCAACGTTGTAAAAGTTGAGCATGATTGCAGTTTCAGCGGGCTCATTAAAGCGTGATCATTTACTAATGTACTCAAAAGTCCTCCTGGTGGCTTTAGGCTGCTTCTTTTTTCCCACTGATTCTTGTATCTTCATATATGGTACCTATAGATCAAAAGAAATCAAATTGTGTATTGAAATGAAGCATTTAATTGTATGCCATTTAGTACATATGTGTTACTAGTACGTACCCCAATTAAAATATATTTCTAACAATGGCCCAGGTTTCCAGAGCTCTGCATACCCCTCTGCACCACTGGCCTGATCTTGCTTCCTCCCTGCACATTTTCCTCTACTGCATGCTCACTCTTTCCTTCCTCTCTAAATAAGAAAAAAATGCTTGTTTAATAATTATATTCTACTTTTGTTTATTCTTGCATAAGATGACTCATTCATGATGTAGTATTTTTATTGCTTTTCTTTCTTGTGGCTGACACCCCTCAAACCTTGTCCATGTGATGGGGTACTGTTTTGGGAAGTATCTTTGCACCCATTTGAAAATATGATTGGAAGAAAGCAAGCAGAAATAATGCACTAATTTCAGCTACTCTGTCTGAAATCGATGTGCAGCATGCTACGTTCTATGTCCACACTTGTAATTTCATCTGCATGTGTGTCATCTGTAACATTCTTCAATTTTCCATGTGTTCTTCATTACCTGCATTATTTCGACATTACTGTGGTTTTATTTACACAGTAGAGAGATCTTAATGTATTACTTTGCAACAAAATTATCTGTGTAGCTAAGAATGTAAATAAAATAATTGTGTGAATTAAATAAAATGTATGTTGCCATGTATAGCCATGCATATTATCAATGATTTTAAAAATGAACTTTTATGATGCTGAAATTCTATGATATACTATAAAGAATGTATAGTATTGGGCATCCTTAAATATTATTACAATGAAATTCTATAATATACTATACAATATTTATGAAATTCTATTAATTTAAATATATAAAAAATATTTCCATTTCTAGAACTAAACATGCAAGGGGAAAATGTGAAGTGTTGGTGGTGGCCATAAAGTATAAATATGTTTAAGTTATTCTATTTTGTTATATTTCTCCCCGATTAACTTCCTATGCTATTTACAACTATATGTAAAACTAATTATTTTGCTTTAATCGAGAAAGGCAAAAATTTCTAAGTGTAAACTTGGCAAAGATGTTTTTTTATATCAGCCAATTTCACGTTTCTATTATAAATATTGGTATAACTTTTGATAGTCTATGAAATGATAAACTAAAAAAGGAAAGAAATATTTTGACACTTAAAATTGGGTAAAAATTGCATTTATTTTTAGAGTTAGTCTGTATTTTACTAATAAGTAGATTGACAACTTACTTCAGAATTTTCTTATATTTGTAATGTAAAACAAATTTTAGAAACCATCAGTTGGAGTCTGGTGAAACTACTGCTAAGCTAAGAGGAATCACAGTATTTAATGTTGCATTCAATATTTTTTTGAAAATTCAAGATAGTTTAGCATAAGAAATATACAACAGTCTAGGGCCACATAGAGTTCCAGTAACAAAGCAATCTGTAGTGGGATTTAGTATCATAACGGTGATGTATCTTCTTTTTATTTATAAAACAGTTCATGAATGAAAATGACTTTTCAAACCACACATTTTTAAAAATTTATTCTCTGCTCCATAAAATCATGTCCACAATTTTTTAAGGATTAAAAATTCTTAGAAATTATTCCCAAACTCTAGAGTGAAGATATAGTTTTGAAATTTTGTGTAAATCTTCACTTCATATCGAGATGGATGAAGGGTAAGGAGAACTGAATTAGAATGAGTAATCAATACTGATGATCATTTTAGGATATAAAATTAATGTCTCATTAAGTGTTAATTTTCTTATGTTAAAATATTAAAGTTTCATATATATTTTAATTCATACACTTTCTGAATCTGATTTTTAATCAGAATTGGGCATGTGTAAAGAGTTTTGTCACTGTTCACAGATATAAAACTTGAAAGCCATCGTGGAAAGGCTGAATGTTGGAATTATGGGGGATATATCATGTCTCCAACAGATAATATAATCAAATCAGTGTACTCGCACAGGTAGTTACAAGGAGTAGCAAAGGAAAGCAGCTGAATAATGTACATAAGAATTCCTCAGTAGGGAAATCAGAGATACTCTCGATAATTAAGAAAAGTCTGGTGTCATTATTTCCCCTTCTGAGAAGCTTTGGGAATACTGAAGAAATTACATTTTAAATCCCAGTGGCCCATTTCAAAATGAAGAGACAGTCATAAATTCTCCCATATGTTTCTGGTTAGCTATCGCAGAAGGGAACAAGAATTTATTTCTTATTTTAGGTGAGTAGTTGGAACTAGTCTTTGACATTATAAATTGGTTACAGTAACTGTATTTTTTTCAATTTAAACCACACCATAGATGCAATTATAAAGTGTAGATACAAATTTGAGACTAAGAATACTCTAGCATGCTAATATTCATCTTCTATAACTACAACAATATACTTTTAAAACTATTATCATCCTGAGGAAAAATGAACCCTGCTTCTATTTATTATTATAATTGTACTATATTGGTATGCTAAACAGTGAATGTTACAAGCGCTAGTAAACGTAATACGAATTTTCCATTTGAAATGTTCTCTAAACAAAGATATCACTGTGAAATATAGAGGCAGATTAACTATGAATACCTCAAATTTCAATGTCTTTCTGGTGGGTCTTCCATCTATTCAGTAAGGTAAAGTCTTTTTCTCTTCTGACCATACATCCTTAGAGTTTCACTCAAGACATAGAAATCTGTGGTCTCCTTTTACTTATACTACAGAATGCTAGATTTGTCATGGTAAGAAGTTCCCCAAGCGTAGCTCCTGAAGAAAAGATTTGGTGTATGATATTTATTTGTCTGGTGATTCAACGAAGCAAATCTGAGAGAGTGAAATAGATGACACAATGGTAAAATCGAGTCAGTGCAACATGCAGCAAGTACAGTGGACCCTCAAATTACGACCAGCCTGACATATGAACAACTTCGGTTAGGACTGCCTTTTAGTTTTAACTCTGAAAAATTCCTGAGTTATGACTGAACTGCCCACCGCGTGTGCTTCCAGATGGTCTCAAATACAGATTTAGCCCTCAAAGAGTTCTGGAAGGAACATGACAGCACCCTTTCCTGTATGGGGTTCACTGAGGAATCCCGGGTCAGTGTCTCTCTAAGGACACTGAGATCGGCCTATGTACAGCAGAGAGGCTTTGAAAGCTGTGTTGAGGAGCCTGAGCCTTCATTGACCAACTTGAGTTGCAACCAGCTCTTATGAACGATTTGAGTTTGCAAGTCACGGGTTCACTGTAGGTTATTGAAGTAAACAACTGGGATTCATTCCTTTCAGATATTTGAAGGGATCGTGTAGAACTCTTCTAAGAGTTACTCTAAGGCAAAGCAGAGAGGGTTAGGCATCTATCTGCCAATTTCTCCTTTTCACTGGCATTGTTCCTTCCATGAAAAGCCCAGGCAATTTAAAGCTGCCTTCAAGCTCTCTGGAAACTTGGTCTCCAGAAAGCAGCAGCGTCCCCAAGGCTCAAAGTTGTCAACATCTCAGAAATAAAAACTACCATGTCTGCAGACCAAGTGAGAAGTGGTCCAACGTGATAAGTAAGGCAGAAGGGTGGTTCATTACGGCGGTATTCACAATAGCAATGACGGAAAGCCAGAAGGAAGGCGTTTTGACTTGGGTTAATACCGTAACAATGGGATGCTCTCGCCTCACCTGTCTTTGTATTTAATTTACAGTTGTTTCCATATGGACATTAAGGCTCAAAACTTGGAAGTATTCCTTAAATATTTCTAGCGGGATAAGGCTGTGTTTAATATCAGTGCCTTTGGAAGTTCAAGAAGAGATACTTGTGGAAGAGTGAAAAACCAAATATACAACCTTTGTTTTCAGTTCTGCTAGCCCGTAACATTTCATAATTCTAGGTTTCGCTTTGCCCCTTCCCCCGCGTGACGCATTTAACTGCGTGGAGATCTTTCGTTTTGTTCTGTTTTTTCACTAGGGGTTCACAGGGCCCTGTGCCATAGACTGCACGCAACATTTAATAGTTTTGTTAAAATATATTCCTATAACCATGATCTTGGAAGAAGGCCGAAGTTTTTTAATTATTTTATTTGTCCGTGTTTGCGGTGCGTAATGATTGCGTTCATCTTGGGGAGTTGGTGCGTGTCACCACACGTCTTGGCTGGCTTCCTCCTCCCCTCCATCTCTTTGTAATTTTCCCTTGCGCCATGGACCACAGCTTTGAAATTCCTCCTCATGCTCTGCTTCGATACTCCAGCTTCTCATTTATAATATGCATAATTGGATTAAGAAAAGCAATCATGCTGATCTCGCGTGTACTTAATTTTATAAACTGTAAATATCCAAAGTGAAGATTGTGGAGTAATTTCGGAGAACAGGAAAAATAAACAGATAGGAAACCTGCTTCTCCCTCTCCAGGGTTTTCAGTTACATGGCACAAGTGGAAAAAAGCCTTATAAATCTGCCCATAAAATGTTTCAAATGTTGGAGAATCTTACACGATGGGGT